ACATTAATAATAATTATTAACAGTTATAATGTCTATCCTCCTGAGTATAATAAAGAAATAATTTATACATAGTAATTCTTTCTAAAAATAAATATCTCTGGAATCCAGAAGCCAGCACTAGTCTTACCATGAATTTTGGTAAGTTGTGTAGTATGGATCTAATGCCCATCCAAAACAAATCAGGAGTTTAATAGAGTGAAAGGAGCACAGACTCTCAAGTTCTTTCAATTCCCAGCTCCACTTCCTTGCTGTGTGACCGTGAGCAAATAACAGCCTCTCTGAATCTGTTCCCTTATAGAGAAAAGTATACAAATATCATTGCTGTAGACAGGTCAAGATGACTGGAAGAGCTGAAGCACTAGAGGCCTGCCCCCCTTGCTCCAAACACATAGAAATTCAAGGTTAAAAAAAACAAAACAAACAAAAAAAACCCGTTGTAGTGTCTAAAACCAAGACAGAAAAATATGCAGATGGCAAAAGCAAGGAGGCCCATTGGGAAAACCAAACCATAGAGACTACTTTGAAGGCTGATGTGGGAACAGGAATTGGGATAAAGACAGGAGCCAAGACACATTGATAAAAGGGAGATAGAACTCAACTCCCAGCAGAAAAATAGGAGCCAAGACTCAAGGACATGGCTTAGGAATGGCTTCTGCCCATGTAAGGGAAAGAGTCAACTTCTAGAAATATAATTCCTGGGCTGTACCACACACATACTATGGAAATGAGAAATGATCTAAAGACTGCTCTGGAAAGAACCCCTGAGGGCCCCAACAAGGATGCCTAGTATTAGTCATGAGTTATATGATTCTTATAAATGCGTGGACTATTAGAGCTATAAGAAAAATACATAAATTTAAAAAGTCTTTAGCCTTATGACCCAGCGATTCCACTTCTAGGAATATATATATTTTTAAAAACAGAAACACTGATTCGAAAGAATATATGTACCCCTATGCTCATTGCAGTGTTATTTACAATAGCCAAGATTTAGAAGCAGCCCAAGTGCCCATTAGTAAATGAGTGGATAAAAAAGCTGTGGGACATTTACACAATGGAATACTACTCCATCGTAAGGGAGGAAATCTCTTACCTTTTGTGACAGCATGGATGGGCCAAGAGAGCATTATGCTAAGTGAAATAAGCCATTCAGAGAACGACAAATACTATATGATTTCACTTATATGTGGAATCTAATGAACAAAATAAACAAACAAAATAGAAACAGACTCATACAGAAAACTGACAGCTATTAGAGGGGAGGAGTGCTGGGGGCTGGGTGAAAAAGGTGAAGGGATTAAGCAAAAAAACCCAACTCAAAGACACAGACACAGTATGGTTATTACCAGAGGGAAAGTGGGGTGGGGGAGGTAGAAGAGGGCAAAGGGGGGATAAGTGGTGATGGAAGGAGACTTGACTTTTGGTGGTGAACACACAATACACAGATGATGTGTTGGAGAACTGTACACCAGAAACATATATAATTTTATTAACCAATCTCACCCCAATAAATTCAATAAACATTTAAAAATAAATAAAAAATAATTCTTTACTTTTACTGATTAGGGCACTGAGGCCCATACAAGGAAAGTGAGTTATCCAAAACAACACAGATAGTGTCTGAGTCAGGCTTAGTCAAAGAGTTTCCTTTAAATGTTTAAAAATCAATTCTGAAGAAATGATATAATGCTTAAGATTTGCTTTAAGTTAATCCAGCTTGTTACTTTCCTTGGGAGGGGGACTGAGATATGATGGGCAGTGAGTTAATTATTTTTGAAACTGGGTGATAGGTCCATTGGAGTCATGATATTATTCTGTGCAACTGTGTATGTTTTAATTTTCCATAATGAAAAGTTTAAATAACTCCTAAAATAATAAGAGGTAAAGATCTCAAAATAAGTGGTACATCTGTCAAACTTGTGACTCAAAAACTGGATTATAAGACGTGCAGCAGATTGCTTGTGAATTGAGTATATTTAATATCACTCAGCTGTGACTGTTGAAGTTTTTTTTAAATGTCTTTTTTATGACTATAATAAAAGATGCATTTTCTCATTAGGCATGCTAAAACTATCCAAGCTCAGAAACTGAACAAACAACCCATTGAATTAATTAGCACTTGAAAAATGAAAATTACATTAGGAACAAAATTAATTCTTTAAATTACAAAAGGCAGATCTGCCTGGCCAGTGTGGCTCAGTGGTTGAGCATCAACCCATGCACCAAGAGATCGAAGGTTCGATTCCTGGTCAGGGCACAGGCCCGGGTTGCAGGATTGACCCCCAGTAGGGGGCGTGCAGGAGGCAGCTGATCAATGACTCTCATCACTGATGTTTCTCTCTCTCTCCCCCTCCCTTCCTCTCTCTCTAAAATCAATAAAAAAATATATTTTTTAAAAATTCAGATTTTTCCATAACCTGTGCATGCATAACACATGTTAATGGGTTAGCCTAGATATATTACACAGTGATTATAATCATCTGCATAATTAAAGCCCTTCAAACAAAAAGAAGATAGGGCACTCAGAGTCAAAGAAAACAATTAGAGGTCAGCAGCTTATTACTGCAAAACAAACCCTCCTAACAAATCACATGCGCTACTTAAAAAAAAAACTAAATTTAGTTCATAGCATTCACTTGATAATTTATGTAACATCAAGCACAATATACCTAGGGTGCTTCAATCTTGAGTTTAGGAGATGAAACATACCCTAAGGTCACAGTAAGAACTTAAACTAGTAGGAAGTCACAATGTCATTTTGTAAATATCCATTTTTAAGGACATAAAAAGCAGTAAAAGGAGGAAGGGAGAAAAAGGATTCTTAAGACAATGCATAGTTTAAAGTCCTAATTTACAGGACACATTATGACATCAATAGTATTTGCAGAGGGATTTTATTTTTCTGAGAAACACTAGAAAATAATTTTGAAAAAAATTTAAATACCTATAATCCTATCACCAATAATAGCTACTTTTAATATTTTGTTTATTTCTCTCTAGGTTTTTTTTCCAGTCTTTTTTTATGTATATATTAACATATGACAATATATTTTTTTACTTTGGTAAAACTGGAGTCATGCTATAATTTTGATTCCTTCTTTTTCACTCAATAATATATCCTAAATATTTCCCCCAAAACAGGACTTTTAATGTTTCTGTATGGTGTAGTATTCCACCCAATAGTTGTATAATTTATTTGACCACACATCTGCTACTAAACATTTAAATTAATCCAGCTTTCCCCCCCACACACACAATTTTAAGTAACACATTTGAAAAGATTCTGGAACATAATTTGCCTATATCTGCAATTACTGTCTTGGGCCAGATTCCTAGAAGCGGAATTTACTGGGTGAATGGTTTGAACTTTTCGAACTCGACACATACTACATTCCAGACAAGCTATACGACTTACACACCCACCAGCATTATTATTACTCTGTCCCATCTGCATGGTTCTGATTAGAGGCCAAACGCAGATGATGAGTGGGCCTTGGCCCCAAAACAAAACAAAAAGAAAACCTTTGCCCTTTAAAAACAAAGGGTTGATTATAAATATGAATACCTGAAAGGTGAAACTTAGAGGGGACCCCTAAGAACCACAGCCCAGGAACTGTCTGTTCCAGTCACAGTAAACCAGCTGCAGTTTCCCTGAACTCAGGGCCTTTCTCTTGCCTCTAGGAATTTGTGAGCATTACTCCCTCTCTGGAACATCTCCAGCCCACCCTACTCACTTGCCAACCTGCCTGCCTTTCTTCTCCAGAAAATTTTCAGTAATCCCCAGTCTAAATTAAATACTCTTCCACTTTGCTTCAACAACACCCTACATTACCTCTATTTTAGAACTCATTTCATATACCAAAGTATAATTAATGGTCTGTCCCCTACACTAGATAGTGAGTTCCTTCAGGGCAAAGACTGTTCCTTCATTCCCTGTTGTAGTCTTGGCATCTACCAAAGTACCTGGGATACAATAGGCACTGAAGAAAAATTAATTAAATGAATTAATCAGTCATAAAGCAGAGGGTTTAGGGCAGGGGTTAGAGAACTTTTTCTGCCTGTAAAGGACTAGACAGCAAAAATTTCAGGCTTTGGGAGTCACATGGTCTCAGTCACAAATATTCAACTCTGCTTCTGTAGCACAAAAGCAGTCACAGACACTATGTAAATGAATGGACATGACTACGTTTCAATAAAACTTGGTCAAAACCAGGTGGCAGGCGAGATTTGGCATGTGGACCATAGTTTGCCAATCCCTGGTTTAGAGGAAATGATGATGAAAAGATCATAGAGACTTTTAATGCTTTAAACCCATGCAAAGTTTAGGTTAAATTGTACTTACACAATCAATTATTATCACTTTATACTCTCAAATTCCTTTCCTCTGTGACTTGGTCTGTAATGCAGAGTAAGGGGAAGGGAAACAACTGAAGAAGGTAAGAGAGGGTGGCACCATCATGGTAGCTGAGCTCAGGTGTCAGGCCTCAGTCAGCGGCAAAGAAGGATCAGCAGGGTAAGAAGCAGAGACGGGCTATGCTTGAAGGGATTTGCCAGGGCTTTTAAATTTGTACAGTCATTCTGAATAGATTCACTGAGTATTGGTAAACCTAGGTTAGAAGCACAAAGTATTATGAAAATAGACTAAAGATATGTACAGTCAATAGGTCAGAATTTCAATAGCTCAGAATTATGCATTGAATCAATGTACGTGCTTGTCTCCACAGGTCCGGGAAAAGGAGGAAAAATGACATCATTCAATGACAGAATGGCCATGCAGGTTCAAAGTCAGGCCCTTCTCACTGCTGATGCTTCCCTGCCTCTGACTCCACCGCCAGCTCGCCCCTTCCCCAAACCCATGCCGTCCCCACAACCCTCCAGCACTTCTACTCTTGGCTGCAGTGACAGAAGAGGCCTCGAGACAGCCTGTGTGACCACGGCCCGTCTCCTCTGGGCCATGCACGGTCTGCCCAAGGAGTTACTACTCTTGATCAGAGCCTTACTTTTCATCGTCCCTTCCTCTTCCTCATCCTCTGCATTGATCACCATGGTGCCCAGCTGGGACGGCAATGTGTCACCGTGCTCAATCATAGTACTGGCTCCATCGCTCATGGTGCTGGCCACGCGGACGGTGCCCAGCTCGTCACCCGCTGCGCGAACCATCGTGCCAGAATCCAACTCATCCTCCTCCTGTAAAGGGGCAAAATCGCAAATTGAAGCTAATTGGATCAAAAGTGAGTTTTCTGAATTACTATCATCCAAATATTTCTGATTTGACACTTACTCAGGTTCTCAATCCACTTTGTAGAACTGAGAGCACTTATTTAAGCCAAGAACATAAATTTAGCCACGTAAGAGTAGTGTGTCTAACCCTAAAGGGCCCACTCCCTCTCCCCTTCTTAATAGTTTTGCAACATAGATCTAAGGAGCTCAGGTGCACACTCTTGGAATCTCAGGGTTGTGGGGGAGTCTCTAAGTGTAAAATCTACATATTTAGTATGAATCCTTGATTCCCCAAAAGGACACGGAAAAACCAAGTCTCAGACTTGAGCGTTCTCTTTCCCGAATAAAAAAGTTACACCGAATAAAAGGTAAAATTTGAAAGTATCTTAGGAAGCACTGTGAGAAGAGCACGCACAGAAGAAGCCAGCCTCTGGAGAGCCTTGGTCAAGGACAGGACAGACACATGTAAGAGGAGTCTCCAGCTCCAGGCTGATCCCACACCTACACGTCTTACCCGGCGGCTTGGCAATCAGAATAACAAGCATTAATGCCTGAGGCCCCAAACCAGGCCTGCCACTCACTGAGTTTTCTTCATCCTCCTGGTCCACTTCCCGCTGCTGGGCTTCCTGGCGTTTCAATTTCACATCCATTGCTTCGTTAATTAAGTCCCGCAGTATAGACACTCCTTTGGCACTCTTGACAAATGGGTGCTTAAACAAGAAAGCGACAGATGCTGAGGACAGTTTATATGTACCAGTGCCAAAACAGTGCCTGGCACACAGCAGGTAACTGATATTTGTTAAATCAGTCATTGAATCTAATCTTTCTTATTCTGCTTTGGACAAAGACTAAACCACACTTGCTTTATAACTGAGCAGATGCACATTCAGGCTTCGCCCATCTCTTTTGGCCTGGTTGGAATTGTCTCCTCTCTTTCTCTCTGCCAAATCTAGAGATTCGCAACAGGGTGGTATCACCTCCTGGAGGAAGTTTTGTAGTGTTGGGAGCGTATAGTTACAATGCTTGAAGAATACAAACAGCATGGGAGGGGAGGGGAGGCAGGGGCACTACAATCCTACAAAGTGGAACACTCCGCACAACACCACACTGTAGCACATTCCGCACACCTTTCAATGTCTCAGAGTACATGTACGCTCTGGTAACTAATACTGAAAACTTTTTCCAGGGATAAGCAAATGATCTAGTAATTTGGGAGGTAAGCTTGGAGTGGGGGCTTAAATGAAATAAAGACACTGTTTAGAAATTACTGATTAACTTACCCTGCTTATTCTTTCTATTCAATGTACTACAGCATTTCTGACTATGTATTTAGGTAAAAACAAATTTAGTGTAAAAGTGTAGTTACCGCAGAAATACTTAAAACTAGTCACAAAGACACTTGAAACACAGGAATATTGCTGAATTTCATTTCTAAAAATGAAGTTTTTAAATTTTATTTATTTAATATATTTTCATTAATTTCACAGAGAGGAAGGGAGAGATAGATAGAAACATCAGTGATGAGAGAGAGTCACTGATTGGCTGCTTCCTGCACTCCCCCTGCCGGGAATTGAACCCAGATCTCCTGGGTCATAGGTTGATGCTCAACTGCCAAGCCATGCCAGCTGGGCAAAATGAAGTTTTTTTAATATTAAAACCAACAACCAAAATATCCTTCAATGGGGGATTGGATAAAGAGAATGTGGCACATACATACGATGGAATACTCAGCCATAAGAAAAAACAAAATACTGCCACTTGTGACTACATGAGAATATTATGCTAAGTGAAATATGAAACTGAAACTCATGGGCACAGACAACAGTGTGGTGGTTACACGAGAGAAGGGCGTGTGATAGGGCGGAGGGAAGAGAGGGCCTAATATATGGTGACTGAAAATGTTTTGATTTTGGGTAGTGGAGACACAGTATAATATACAGATATTGTATCATAGAAATGTACACTTGAAACCTATACAATCCTATTAACTAATGCCACCCCAATAAACTTAATTTTTTAAAAGAAAATAAATAAATATTAATGCCATCTTACATTTTTGTTGTTTGTAGCACAACTGTAAGAAATCTATGTGAAAGTTACATGTGAAAATTCTTTGGGGGGTGGTGCCTATTGTTTTCCAAACTTATTCTGATGTTGTCTCCAGAGTCTCTCTTTGTAATCCATTCTCTATTCTCTACCACCCATCAAAGGATATGGTCTCCAAGTTCTTTGTAAATACTTTATAGATTGAAAGTATGCCTCAACATGTAGTGAGTTCACAATACAGGAGATATCCTTTTCCATAAAACTTTATCAGTGCCCCAGCCAGGCAGGAAAAGAATTTTCCACTACACTTAGAAATAAGACCCAGCTTGTTTGCAAGAATATTATATTTCCTGTTGTCTCCACTTGGAAAGCTTGTAAAATCATTTCCCTCCTCTTATCACATATAAGTCTGGTCTGCTATTACCATTAGTTTTATGCAAGTGCCCACCCATTCATATTCCTGTATTTCGTGAATAGAATGGTTTCTGTTCTTGTTACTGCACTTAAATCTAAATTCTTTCATGAAGACAAGTACAGGTCTCTAACTACTTCATTATGTCTGTAAGTTGTGTAAGGCTGGACCACTTCTATATTGACAAATATATTATTTTATTATAAATTATTATCTTTATATGTCTCCATAATATCATAGACATTATACTGATTCTTTTTAAATTACGGGCATAAATAGGTTTATTTTCCATGAGTTTCATTCCAGAAGTAATGAGTGTTAAAAAATACATATATATATCTATAGGGTGTCCCCCAAAAATGTACACACACACTTTGAATAATTATAAAGGCAGAGTTTATTAAAATATATTTCATTTTCAAAATTGAGCTATCAGCTGTTAAAGTGTGTATATATATTTTTTGGGACACCCTGTATATATGGAGTCGATATGGTTGAAGACCACTGGCCTAGCCCAATGTAACAGCAAATATTTATCAAATCCATCCCATACTATCTTTAATACGTGTAAAGCATTGTTCAAAGTTACACATACCACTCAACTATCACAACTTATGAGACAGGTACTTTATCTCCATTTTATAAATAAGAAAATTAACATAACAGAGAGTCTATGTTACTTGCCTAAGGTCATAAAGTTAGTAAACAGGGAGTCGGGATTCAAACCTGGGCAGTCTGAACTCCAGAATCCCAGCTCCTAATCACTGAGCACACTTCCTGCCAAATCCCACACATCCTTCAAGGTCCAGGCAGAGAGTACCTCCTCTAGGAAAGCATTCCTGGTATCTCCAATCCAAAGTGGCCTCCTTCCACCCTGAGCTATAATAGCACCTACTATTAATCTCAGTTCTTTGCCAGAATTGGGTGGCACTCCTGCTTTGGAATAAGAAAGACCTAGGTTCTAATCTCAGCTCTGCTTTTACCAGCTGAGTATCTCAAAATGAGCTAACCTCTCTAAGCTTCCATTTTCTCACCTACAAAAATGAAATAATATCCATCCCTCACAGGGTCTATGCAATGATTAAATGATATAACATGTGAAAGTACCCAGCACACAGCAGGTACTCACTAAATGTCAATTTCCATTCTCTAATCCCACAGAGCCTTGTATTTTTTTGCCATATTGTCTTGTTCAATGATTTAACATTCTTTTCTACTCAGTTAGATCCAAACCTCCTGAGGAGCAAGAAATGTCTTATACTTCTTTACCATCTCCACGTAGGTGGGTTAACAGCATGTTTTGGTTGGCATGTGAACAAAATACAGAGGGAGCACCTCAAGTGATTCATACCTGTAGGAGTTGAGTGGCTGTGGCTCTCTGCTCAGGGCTCTTTACAAGACACTGCTTCACAAAATCCATGAAGTTATCTGACCACAGTTCTGGCTTTCGGAATGTGGGAGGAGGGTTGGTAGGAATCATAAAGATTGCCTGGTTAAAAAAAAAAAAAAGATTTGGTAAAATAAAAGTGATGCTCTAATAAAAAAGTAACTAGAAATATATTTGAAGTTTGATAAAATGATTTTTCTCTTATCCACTGAACAGCCCACCCAAATTCCACAAGTCTAAGTACTTAAAGTAAGAAGTGTGACAATTAAAGGACATGATATAACTCGCCCTCTCCCTCCCCTTCCCTCTTCTTCTCCCCCTTGTTCCCCAAAACCTCACAATATCCAAGCTTTTTTTCCTAAAGATTTTTAAAAATTGATTTTTAGAGAGAGAGCAATGGAGAGGGAGGGAAGGAGGGAGGGAGAGAGAGAGAGAGAGAGAGAGAGAGAGAGAAACATCAATGTGACAATAAAACATTGATTGGCTACCTCCTGCAGGCCCCCTACCAGGGATGCAGCCCAAAGCCCAGACATGTGACCTGACTGGGAGTCAAACTGGCAACCTTTTGGTACATGGGTTGACTCCCAACCAACTTAGCCACACCAGCCAGAGCCCACCAAGCTTTTTAAAATTTCTGTTAACCACGGTACATTGCCGTTCAAAGTGAAAAGGCAAGACCTAAGAGCATCAATATCCTGAAGATAAAATCTCAGCCCCACAGCTATCAAATTTCCCTCCTCCCTGAAGGTTACCACCACTACTGGCTGTAAGCAGTTACTGCAAGGAGACCATAAACTCAGAAGTCCCCAAAGTCACAAGGGATTCAATCACTTCTAAGCCAAGACAATTCAACATACTTGGGGGAAAATTGGCCCATTACATTGCAGTTAGTTAAAAAAAATCAAAAAACTATTACTTATTGAGTTTCAAATAAAAGAGCCACAGTTAAAAAACAAACAAAAAAAACACACAAAACTCTTTGCAATAATCAGCTTAAATTATAGTCTTTAAATCTAAAAATATAACCAGTAAATCATCCTACCCTTCTCCACTTCTGCCCTTCCCAAAAGAGGGAAGTTTATCTTCGGGCCCATGAATACTTTTTAAAAAAACTATTAAGTCTTTCAATAGGAGAACTAATTAATCAGAGAAGAGGAGGAGCTGGGTTGGGAGGTATGAAGAATATAAAGTCCCCGAGGAAGGGTCGAAGTCTTGTAACAGTGCTGTGGTGAGGGGTCCTGGGAGGGGGGTGGTAGTAAAGCCTGGAAACCCCCTTAGGGTGTTTCAGTGGAGAGTAAACCTATGGGTTCTTAACACTCTAGAAGTAGATGGAGGTTGGCAAGTAGAGCCTCCAGATGAAGAGAGGCTGGTGATCTACAAACCAGAACTTACAATTTTAAATACATGCAAGGGCAAGGCAGGAAAAAGACAACATAAACCAGGCTGGGTACTAGTGACATGAGTTCAAAAAAATAGTTTGCTTTCCTCTTACCACTACTATAAGACAAACATTAGAGAAAACACTGCAGTAAGTGACAACTGATACTTGGTAAAAAAGAAATCATGGAGACTGATAAGAGTAGAAAGCCACAGGAGAAAACCACTACTCAGTGCCAGTCAGTGCTGCTATATTAAAATGTGAGCACTGAAACTAAAAAAATATACATTGCACAAATCAAACCAAGCATTTCTGTGGCCCATGTCCTGCCTAGGGCTATCGATACACAGCTTCTGGAATGATGAGGGGTAAGTTATACTTTAATTAGAGACTACAACTAGTGGAAGTGTATCATCTGGAGTCTAGACTGACACTTAATAATATATAATTAATCCATTTATCATTTGGTACCTAACCAAGTAAGTCATTTAACTAACTTTCTAATGATGACCAATAACTAACCACCCACTGGTTTCCCATCCACTTCCTTACCCTCATTGGATGGATATCGGCATATGGGGGCTTCCCTTCAGCCATTTCTATGGCAGTTATTCCCAATGACCAGATGTCTGCCACACAGTTGTACCCAATTTCCTGAATCACTTCTGGAGCCATCCAAAATGGTGTTCCTATTACTGTATTTCGCTTGGCCATGGTATCCTAAAATAGAAGGGAGAGAATACTAAGCATTAAAACTATTATGACAAAGACTATACTCAAGGCATGACCAAGCAAGTCACACAAAAAAATTCAAACGACCTAGAGACAAAAGATTCTCAGTCAGTTACTAAAACACAAAAAAATAACAATCAATTAATAAACCACTAAAATAAGATTGACAAAAATTAAAAAGATTACTAATAACTAGTGTTGACAAGAGCTTAAAAATTATGCACCAAAATACACTGGTACAGCGTTCAGTAAGCAATTTGGCATTATTTATTAAACTTAAATGCCTATATCCTTTGATTCAAATCTATTTCTGGAGATGTATCTTATGTGTAGGTACCCCACAATATACAGGGGGGAGGTAGGTTTACTGTTGTGAGTACATGAAAGACAGAGTTTACTCTTGTGTTATTTATTATTGTATAATTTTCCAAATGAACAACTATAAAAGCCTACTTTTGTCCCACTCTGTGTGCACAAGTATTGTAGGAATATTTGTAATATGGGAAGAAAAAGGAAATAACCCAAATGACCATCTAAAAGAGGGAAGTTAAAAACAATAAATATCCATACAATGAAATACCACATTAAAAAAAAGAGAGATCTTGGCTGGCATGGCTCAGTGGTTGAGCATCGACCTATGATCCAGGAGATCGCGGTTCGATTCCTGGTCAGGGCACATGCCCGGGTTGCGGGCTCGATCCCCAGCAGGGGGTGTGCAGGAGGCAGCCGATCAACAACTTTCATCACTGATGTTTCTCTCTCTCTCTCCCTCTCCCTTCCTTGCTCTGAAGTCAATAAAAATACATTTTTTTAAAAAAGAGAGAGATAAATACATTTTTCTGGCATGTAAAAAATGTACAAGGTATATTGTGAAGCAAAAAAAACAGGTTACAAAATTAGATATAATATAGCCTGTTTTTGTAAAAGAAAAATAATGAAACAACTAGTAATAATAAATATTGTTGTTATATGGATAGCAAAAAAAAAAAAAAGAAAAATCTCAAGTAACATGCACCCAATTATTAACATCAATTATATCTAGAAGTTAGAATTACTAAGGACTGCTTTCCACCCCATATACTTCTGTAACACACTATGGTTTACATGAGCATGTATTACATGTGCAATCAGAAAATTAAAAAAAGAAAATTATATATGCATATATGCATGTATATATATAATTTTAAATAATACACATTTTACATAATGTATACATACAGTGGTACCTCGGTTTTCGAATGTCTCCATTGACGAACATTTCGGGTTACGAGCATCGTAAACCCGGCAGTAAATGCTTCAGTTTTCAACGCTTCTCAGAAGTCGAACATGCCACATGGCTTCCACTGAGGGCAAGATCCTGAGGCCCAGCTGTCGGCTGCTGAGCCCTCGGTTTTCGAACATTTCAGAACTCGAATGGGCTTCCGGAACGGATTACATTCGGAAACCGAGGTACCACTGTATATTTTTACATAATATATACATATATGTAAAGTCTCAGTTTGGGGATTAAAGCAGTATATATAAATATAGTACACATGGGCAAATAACTACTTACATACTTCCCCAGAGTGGCATGGACCTAATGAAAGAGAATCTTTCTAGAATTCTTATATTTTAGAAAGAGAAGGATTTTAAACAACTAAGTATGTAACAGGACTTTCCAAAATCATCATCCACGTTCCTTCTGAAATGCTTGTAGCTTAAGTTAGGTTATGCCAGTCAGGAGCAAATGATAGGTAATATTTTTAAATCGATCTCACTTTTTCAGTCCTACATAAAAAATTAACACAGGAACTATCTTACTGCTTAGTCATTTCCTTTGCTCTGAAACTTGAAATCTGCAGGGGTATTTTCAAACGGTGGTAGTCAAAATTGTTTTCAAGGATTACAACTAGAAATGAATATTTGGATAACCATAAATTTTTTGAAAACTAAGAGTAACAAGAGGATACTAAACCAACTAGGTCAGTGGAAAATATTAAGTCCAGAAACAGATTAACATGTTCCAGGTAGATTTAAAATAAAAAATAAATTAAAACATAATATCAGCTCTAAAAAAGCAAACAAACAAAATATATCTATATAGTCTACCATTCAAGAAAACTGTTTGATATATAACTTTGTTGCAAATTTTAGTATACACCTGTCCAGAACTGTTCTTATTTTTCTACATATATTTCACATATACTTATATATTTTACAAAAGCGGACAACTCTAGACTTCCTGTTTTGAAAACACGGGTTTCTGCGTTGCCAGGCACTGGTGAGGCAGAAGGAGAACCAAGAGACTGTGCCCTGGAACTGAATGGGGACAGTGTTTTCAGTAACTGCCAACTGCTACCTAGATGTCTTGCTCAAGTAAAGCAGTTTGCATTTAATTTTTCTTCCTTTTATAAATATAAGGATGCAGCCCAATAGAATTTAAACTTCTACTCTGTCATTTCTTGTTTTATATTTTATTTTTATCAAAGTTAACTAAAGTTAGACTATGGGACCTGAACTCCAGGAAAGGATCTAAAATAATCTACTAGCTCTTTGATAACCTATTGGTACATTCTATGATTTTTTTTTACTAATGCAATTAAATCAAGTATTATATTTTAAAAATAAATAAGGAATTCCTTCTCAGGACAGCTGAAAGTTACCAGTACAAGTAACATTTTTTTGTTGTTGTTGTTAATCCTCACCCAAGGATACTTTTTCCACTGATTTTTAAAGAGAGTAGAAGGGAGGGAGGGAGGGGGAGGGGAAAAGAGAGAGAGAGAGAAACATCAATGTGAGAGAGACACATGGATTGGTTGCCTCCCACACGTGCCCAACCAGGGCAGAGGAACAAACCTGCAACCCAGGTATGTACCCTTGACCAGGAATCGAACCCTTAACCCTTCAGTGCGCAAGCTGACGCTCTAACCACTGAGCAACACTGGCCAGGGCAACAAGTAACATTTTTACTTACTGTAAGCTGACCTGCTACCCCAAAATCTGCAAGTTTTGCATGTCCTTCGGTGTTTAACAAAATATTTCCTGCCTTGATATCTCGGTGTATTTTTCTCATAAAATGAAGGTATTCCAGGCCCTTAAGCGTTGATTGTAATATTGTAGCTATTTCATCTTCTGTTAACTAAAAAAGAATGAGAAGTCAAAATTCCATCAGTTTATATCAGCACATTCGAAAAAGGGAGGAAAAAAGATTCAAACTCCTTTCCTACAATATAAATATAAGATCTAACTCAACATGTAAACAGCATTTGATAGCTTATACTACCATTGCTACACTCCCAAAGTTATATTTCCAGCCCAGATCACTTCCCAAACATGAGATTCATACATCTGCCTACACAACATCTCTAATGAATACCTAACGAGTATTATAAACATGTCAAACTCAGACTCTTTATTTCTGCCACCAGCCTACTCCTCTCCTTACCACCCATCCAACCTATTCTAGTCTTCCCAGTCTCTTCTCTCAGTAAAAGGCAATTTCATTCTTCCAGTTGTTTTGGCCAAAAACCTTGATGTCATCCTTGGCTTTCCTGTCTTCAAAATGTATTCAAACATATTCTTTGTAATCATCCTGGTCCAAGCTACCACCATGTCCTGCCTGAACTATTCTAATAATTTCCTAACAGGTCTCATTGTTTCTGCCCTTGACCCTCTACAATGTATTTTCCACACAGAAGCCATAAAGAACCTTTTAAAATGTAAGCCAGATCCACTCAAAATCCCAATGGCTTCCTAAGTCACTACAAATTAAAGCCAGTCCTCATCAAGGTCTTACATGACCTGGTTCCCAGCTACCTTCAGCTTCTACCACTTTCTACCTCGCCATCTAGGCTTCCTTGATGTTCCTCGAACACTCTCAGCACACTCCCACTTCTGGGCCTTTTCACCAGCTGTTCTCTCTGCCTACAATGCTCTTCATCCAGATTTCTGTATGACTTGCCCCCTCACTTCACTGTGTCTGTCTCTCACGTTACCTCATCAGAAAACCAGAGAGGCCTTCCCTTGCTCCCTCCATTCCTAGGCCATTCATTCTCTATTCCTTTATCCTACCTTATTGGTCAGTGCAGCATTATTACCATCTAACATATTATACATTATTTGTGCACCTATTTATGTAATGCCTTCCCTATTGGAAACATACACTGCATTTAAAAATGTCTTCGATCTGTCTACTACTGTATCCCTAGCACCAAGAAAGCCACCTGACACACAGTAGGGTCCTGAAAAAAACATAAAATGCTGGAGACTGACATATCTGATCAGTCCTGGTCCTAAACAAAATCAATCCACAAGTTCTCACTCAGTTCCCCTTATGACAAATAACTCACAATCAGAAGGGAGCACATTGTGGTGCAAAAAAATACAGGAATAGAAAGGCCTTTTACTCTTGTCTCTATTTTTCAGCTGTGATTTAACCTAGTTATCAAACTTCTCTTAGTCTTCTTTTATTTCTCAGTTTCTCAATCTATGAAATAAAAATATCACTTTTCTTCAAGAGTGTCATAAAAATGAAATAAGGCATGTCAGGACCCAGTAACTACTACACTATCAACCCATCAACAAATATTTAAGAAGCATCTATTATGAGCCAGGCACTATGCTAATAACATTAAAAATCACTAACAATTACAAAGCATTTCATCTATACTAGCCAACAATTTTGTAATATCATTTAATCCTTATAATAATCAAATGAGGTATGTACTATCATTATCATCACCATTTTCTAGATGAAGCTGAAGCACAAATTAAGTAATTTGTGCCAAAAGTCACAGAGCTAATAAATGATACAGCTTGCACTGAAGTCCAAGCAAGCACTATTGCAGGGTAGCAAGCTAAAATTTGTGGTACCTTCTGTGGCCAAAGGGAACAAAGCTCATCACTTGCTTCCTGGCTCCTTATTCTAAACAGCTGAGCCAATCACTATAGTATTGCTGCCCAAAGAAATATTTGTGAGCCACAAGTACAACTTTTAATTTTCTAGTAGCCAAATTTAAAAACCAAAAAAATAGCAAGCAAAATTAATTCTGATAATATATTTTACTTAACCATATGTATCTAAACTATTATCATTCCAACATGAGTTTAATATAAAAATTTAAAAATTTTCTACATTCCTTTTCTGTAATAATTCTTCCAAATCTGGTGTATATTTTATACTTACAACATATCTCAATTCAGACAAGCCATATTTCAAGTCCTCAATAACCATATGTGGCTAGTGATTATCATGCAATCATAGTAACAGCAAATCATCTTTCACAGAAAGTATTCTCTGATTAATAGGATATAGAGGAAGTTAATCTGTGAACATTGTGGGAAGGAGAAGAAAACTAAACCCAAACTGAAACATTTAAAATTTATTGCTTAAGGACTGGATAGTCATTTTTTTCCTAATACGAAATAAGCAAAGTATATAAGTATCATTAGATTGAATTGTTGTCAAAACTGTCGCATTTAAGAGACATCAAAGAGCAAGGAGGGGAAAGGAACCACCATGGAAAGGGGAAAATCTGACAGTCACCTCTGCCAGAGTGCACATAATAAGAGGCAGAAAAAAGAAGATGGTTCTAGAGACTAGCTCAGTGGCAATATTCTAGAAAGTATACTTACTGTTTTATTTCGTAATCGAATGATATCAGATACGGAACCAGCCCCACAGTACTCCATAACGATCCACAAGTCTGTGTTCTTAAAATAACTGCCGTAATATTTGACTACATGAGGACTAGAGAGAGAGAGACAATACAAATTAGTGGGAAAGTCTACAAACATCTCATGCTGTTATACACCTGAAAAATTTCTCTGCTCAAAAGAACAAGTATTCATATTTATGGTTAAAATGGACACCTTCCTGATAAGAATGTAAACTAGTATAACTTTTCTGGAGGGCAGTAAATAACAAAAGTGGAAAAAATGTATGGGTCCTTTAACCCAGCATTTCTAAGTCTACAATTCATTCTAAAAAAATAAGTTAGATATTCAAAAAGAAATGATTACCATTATAGTACCGTTTATAAAACTGAAAATGTAGATACCATCTAAATGTCAAACATTAGAGTTTAGTTAAAAAATGATGATATATACATATAATGAAATAACCACGAATCCATGGAAGATGTTACAGAATACTTGATAAAGCATGAGATTTCCTGTTCTCTCTCTCTCTCTCTCACACACACACAGATGGGAGATTATATAATAGTAAGCATAGTGAAGCTCCAAAAAGAGAGATGGAAGGATACGTATACCAAGTAGTTAACAATAATTATTTCTCCAAAGGGAAAAGTGACTTTATTTCCTTCTTTTTATTTGAATTTTTCCAAGAAGTCACAAAAAACCCACTATAGTCTATTAAAAAGGGAAAATTTGGGGTTTCAAGCCCAATGAAGGGAGATACCAAACAAGGAATTTCAGAGTAAAGTCAAACATCCCATTAAAATGAAATAATTTGCCATCTGAGAGCTACGAGCTTTAACTGGCTAGATTATTATCAGGGCTAAATAATGTTGCATAATAACTGAAGATGCTAAAACCAACTGGGATTAACTCTCACACTTTCAAGTCCCTTCATCCTTGGGAAACATGCCAATGACAAGGACAGCAGGAAAAACTCCCTCATCAGTGAATATTAATGAAGAAATGGATGAGTAAGTCTCTTAAAGTACGTATCACCACACTTGCTCGCCCCTTCCCTAAATTCCTGGGGTATTTACAGCTGCTACGAGGCACTTACTGCCAGGTACCTCCTGCCGGAACACACTCTATGCATCTTGTACTTTCAGCTAGATTTCCCTGTACATTTATATGACTGGCCTGTCCGATCAGCCTACTCCCACAGGGTGAGAACTCGGCAGTGTATTTCTTTGTATTCCTTACAGTACTTAGCACAGAGTAGGCTCTTCGAAATATCTCTTCTCTAATTACAGACATTTGTATACCATTTGAAACACAGCTCTTGCATAGTTGCTCAAAAGTGCCAAAGTCCCAATATGTCAACTGGAAAGAGCTCCCATAATGTATCTTATGGGGGAGGAAAATCAACCCTGCTACCTTATTCTGGTCAAGCCAATTGAGAAATAAGAGGTTTTTATCTCATGTTGAGTAACCTGCAACGTATAGCGCATAAAAGAAAGGGAGGGAAGGAGAAGAGATACGACTGCATTTATGAGTCTGTGAGACTTAAGGGCTCCTGGGCAAATTTCCTAGCAGGCAGCTGCCCCTGCCCTAATGCTGAAGCTTCACAAAAGAAACAGGAGGTACCAAGTTGATCTGCTGATCAAAAGAGCTTCGGAAGAACGAATGCGGCCTCAAGTGCAAACTTTCTTGCTCTCCTTTCAACTCCCAAGGGCTGGCATTGCCCCTAAGTCTGTGTTTCTCCCATATCTAAACGGTGCCGGGGAAGCCTGGTCCATCACTGTGACCACCCATGCTGTCACGGAACTTCAGGGCAAACCACGTGCTTTTCTGCGGTTGCATGTTGCCTGACTTCCTGCTACAGCATTTGACAAACTTAGTTCCTCAAAAATAAAATACTTAAGTACTCTTAGCTTGAAAAATTTCTTAAAAATATAAAGAAAGGAAGAGCAAGACAAAAATAAGTACTCTCTTTTAACAGATCTGTATATTCTAAGGGTTCTAAAGCCAAAAGCATTTGAATTCTCTCTTCTTAACTGTCTCTGTAGAAATGTTTTCTCAATAGGAAGTAAGATATCATTAAAAAAAAAAAAGCCCACACCACCTTCTCCCTCTCTGTCTCTTCTTCCTAGTTTTGAAAAGGGCTTACTGAAAAAACAAAACAAAAAACTACGCAGAAATAGAAACTATAAAAGTTTGGCTACTAAAACACAAACTTTTTCATCATGTTTTTTCCCTGGGGAAAAAAAACATTCATTGTGATTCCATGAAGCTCTCTCGTCTGCAAAACATCTAAGTAAATACAACTCTAGGCATCAAACTATTTAAATAATCACGGCAAATTCAAAACCATGTTCTCGCCAAAGTAATACCACATGCCTTTACCTGTCACATTGCTGCATTATAGAGATTTCTTTGATTATCTCCTGCAGGTCTGATTCCACAGGAACTTGCTTAATAGCCACAACCTGACCGGTCTCTTTATGAATAGCTTTGTATACGCTGCCATAGGACCTATAGTTGGAGGAAGGAAAACATTTATAAAGTCAAAGCAAGCCAAGACATAAAAGTGGTAAAACACAAGCAACTTACAACTCTAATTTATATGTCTAAGTGCCTAATACATATATACTTAGCTATATTTGCAAAATTGAGATAGCTAAGGTACTTGGCGGGGGGG